GCAAACAATGAATCATGGAACACTACATCAAAAACTAATGATGTAATGTATGGTGATTAACATAACATAAAAAAAGTAATGAAATCTTGCCATTTGCAACATGGATGGATCGAGAGAGTATAATGCTAAGTGAAGTAAGTCAGGGAAAGACAAATACCACACAATTTCACTCATTTGTGGAATTTCAGAAACAAAACAAAGGAAAAAAGACAAATGAAAAAACAGATTCTTAACTATAGAGAACAGACTGATGGCTAGTTACCAGAGGGGAGCGGGGCTGAAAAGCACACTTATCTTGATGAGCACGGAGTCATATATAGAATTGTTGAATCACTGTATTGTACACCTGAAAATTATGTAACAGAATATGTCAACTATACTGGAATTAAATAAAAATAGAAATCATCTAGAGAAGTGATTTTGGAAACATGGATGGATTCCAGATTCATTGGCTACAAACATTTTTCCATCTCAGTTTGTTCAAAGAAAAGTTCTCAAAAAAGAGAGTTTGATTGCATGAGAAGGATAAACTTCTCAAATCTCCACAGAAGGAAGGATCCTACCTGTTTTGTTCACTGTGGTGTTTTAAGCACCTAGCACGGTAAAGCCCAGAGCATGGATACTCTGAGTATCTAGTGAATGAACAAAAGAATGAGGCTGTATTTCTTAATTAACATATGGTCATGATGAGGTCATCTATCCAAAATGCTGTCTTTATATCCAATATTTAATAAAATTTTGCAAAACATGGGTTACTGTAAATAGTGATTTTTCCCCCCTTCAATAATGACATTTCTGGGCCTTTTTCATGAAAAGATTGGTTGGGATTTTTTTCTTGTGGATTTATTTGTCCTGCCACATGTCACCTTTTGTTCAGAGAATAGCAGTGGTTGGTTCAAGTTCATCGGATTAATGGTTTTCAGGGTTTTTTTTTCCTTTCATTTAAGCGAACCCATTAAAAAAAACCCCTGCATATTAAACCCCAATATATAAAAGAAAACTAAAACCTGGGGGGTTGGGAAGGCTCCTGTAGCTGCAATGGGAATGAAGTTCTGTTTCAGCAGTGCCCCTGACCCTATCCCCCCAGCCAACCCCTGCAGTTGCTCCAGGGGAGGTCTCCCCTCCAAGGCCAAGCCTCTGGTGGAAGCAGCCAGGCCTTTGGTAGGGTTGGCTTGAGGCCTTGCTAACCAGGGTGCCCAACGTTGAGTTCTAGACCAGCTCTCTGAGAGTGAGATCCCAACCAAGAATGATTCACACCTCACCTGGTCTTGAAAGTCCCAACGGAGACTACAAGGAGGTATGGCTGGCTGGAGGTCAAGGGTTGGAGACTCCTGACCCTGTGCATTCATATTTAGTGGGCGTTCTCCACTGTTCTGCCTGGGAGCTGCATGTTGCCTGACCTCTGATGCCCAGTGCTGGCCTTAGAGCCAAGAGACCCAGGTGATCTCTAGCCTCAGATCTGCTACCAATTCGCAGTGTTATTGCTGGAGATCTTTCCTGCATGGGAGCTCCATCTCCTCACCCGCCGGATGGGGAAGGGGCCTTATTGACCACGGAGAGAGGTCCCTTCAAGTTCAGACACATAGGGGCAGAGTCCAAAGTTCCATCTCAGCACCCAGCACAGAACATGTAAGGTGTCAGCTGCTTCCAAGAAGCTATTCTCAAAATAGATTTTTAATGTTCCTGTCTGCATTAGTCAGGGTTCTATCACTGGCAAGTCATACTAAGCCAACTCCTTAAAGAAGTTTACTCAGAAGAACAATCTATTGGTTCATGAAACTGCAGAAGACACAAAGTACAAAGTAAGCTCCAAGTACAAGAACGAGGGTGCTCTAGGGGGTTCTGGAACTGGAGTCTAGATACCCATGGTCCCCTCTTTCTCTGATTCTGTGGGCCCCAGCTTGAGTCTATTCTCCCCTACAGATGGTGGGTACCTCGTGAGAGAGAAAGAAGGCCCCCAGGAGTCCCTGCTGCTTGTCCTTCAAACTGTGTAACACAGAAGAAACATCAATGTCCTTGATCCTCACTGCCCAAAGAGATGGCTCTCACAGGCAAGCTGGAGTCCCATACCTAGCCCTGGACCTATCACCGGGGCCGGCGCACACAGTGCTGTCACTGGCTGAGTCTGGATCATAGGCCCACCTCTGTGGCCAGGGGACTGGATAAGAAACTGTGATTGGCAGCCCCATCCCGATCACAGGATCTGAGTGGAAGAGGAGCATTTCCTCCAAAGGGAATGGATGATGCTAAACACACAAACACAGATGTCCATCCACTTGCCACCACCAACCCCAGACTCAGGTGGCGTCTCGGCCTGCCAGTCCGATTCGCTTCTGCTCCTCAAGTGCCCCAACTGCCTCCACCTGCCCCCACCCAGCTCCTCGATAATTCCTTAAGGAGAAGGGTTCTGGGCCTGTCTTGAGCAAATCACTCTAAATAAGTATCCTATGGATGATGCAGAAGATTTCAGCCTCACTTAATCAGTCGTGGAGTATTTGTGCTTACGGGACCACAGGATAGATTTCTCCTTCTCTCCCTGTCGTGGGGCACACAGCTCATGAAAAAGGCCCCTGTGACTGCCCTCCCCTAATTACAGTGGATGAGGCTAACCCGCCGAAGCATCGTCCACGTTTCTAGGTTAGCATCCTCCTGAGGTCCTCCCAGTCTCCCCTCTGAGCCCCCTGCCACCATGCTTGTCTGTGAGGAGGTGGTCGTGCCTTGCTGAGTTGGTGTGTTTGCTTCTAAGAAGGGAGCTGATGAGGAAAGAACTGGTTAGCCCCCTGGTAGAAAGCATGGAGAACAGACAGGCTGGTGGGCATCACTGTAGATTGGCGGGACTCTGGAGAAATAGGGGGAATGCTTTTTCAAATCACAAATCAAGACTGAACCCTTTACTAGGAATCTTCCAGGGCCTCTGACCAAAAGAAGGACCCCTCCTCCAACTTCAGAGTCAGATCATCCTGTGTCCAAACACTGGTTTCATGATGGATCAGCTGAGTCACGTATGGGTCAAATTCCCTAACCTCTCAGGGCCTCAGCCTACCCATCTGTCTGTTGGGGATGATGGTTCCTTACAAAGCTGCTGGGAGAATATTAGAAGGACAGTGCACATATGAAATACACAGCCCCCCGTCCGCACACAGGAGGAGCTCGGTAAACGTCAGCTCCCCTGCCTTCACACCCCAGAAGTAAAAGCTCCTCAAAGGCCGGGCAAGGTCTCTATTTTCAGCACACACTAAAGGGCCTGACACAGAACGCAGTGTTGCCAGTGTTCAGTGAATGATTCTCTAATCCCATAATTTCTCCAGGGGCGCTGCACTGACTCTGCTCTCCACAATCATTCTGTTTGAGACTCGATGACTTCCTTAAGTCTCTATTCATGACAAGGTGCAACTTACCACCATGACTTCTGATATCCAAGGGAGATTTTCTCCAACACCCTGAACTGCGGGACACCCGGCACTGCCCCCAATCTCTCTGGAGATTCTTGGGGAGACTCAAGCTCAGCTACAACCCTGGGCTCCACATACGCTGAACTGGTTCATCTTACAGATCACCCTTCTATTCTACAGGGGTTTTCTTCCCCCTTCTTCCTGTGCCATACCATACCCCCACCCCACAATAAGCACCCGAACGCACCACCCCCCCAAATGCTACTGCCAAGATATGCAGACAGAAGAGGTTACCAGCACTGGTCAGGGAAGGGAAGGGATCCATGTGGAATGTAGTATTAGATACCCCCATTCTCAAAAGCCCCAGAAATCTCCCCTCCACCACTGGACCGGCCATGCAGTCTCCATTCCCAGTCTTCTCTCTCCTTCTGCCCACTCTCCTCTGCCCAGAAGCACGGCGATCCCGCTGCCTCTCTGCCGACCAGTCCCTCAGCGCCCCACATTCCACACCTAATGAAAACTATAAAGGGAGGTTCTCTCATAAGAGGCGCCCTAGAGCCAGCTGTGCAGGCAACATCCACAAACTACTTCCCCACCCTGATTAGTCTGACGGAACTACTCCCTGGCTGCCAAGTGGTGGCTGAGCACCTTGGCTTCATTCCTTAGATAATGCTTGTTATTTTATTATTTTTTTTTTTTTGGTAAAACCTTTGGGGTCTCCCCTCACCACCACAGGAATGATTCCAGCATCTCCAACCCCCGCCATGGGCACCTGCTGGTTTAATTGGGGATGAACGCTGGGCAGGTAGGTTTCAAGTGTCCAAAGACAAACCTGGATCAACTTCAGCATTGAAAATCGTTCCAAACAAAGAACACACACACTCTAGGGTTGGGTTCAATGAAGTACAGTTCTTCCTGCCAACTTTTGTTTTCCAACCTGGTCTATTCATGGTCTGTATCAGCAGACACTGACATAGTCTTTGTCATCAGAGCGTCTAGGATTTGTTCATCTGATATGGGTATTGGTCCAAACTTAGCTTCCAAGATGGGAAACAGCAGAAGGAACATCCTGGGACATAAAGGACATAGAACTCTCCCTAACTGTACCCTACCTTCAAGTCTGACCTTTATCCAGAAACCTAATCGTTACATCTCTCAGTGCATTAGTCAGGGTTCACCAGAGAAAGAGGACCAGAGGAGACATATAAACATATATATATATGATTATAAATTAACTTATAAGATTAACAGAAATAGGATTTACTATTATTATAAATTAGATTTATTATTATAAAGAACTGGCTTACCTGATTATGGAGCCTAAGTCCCAAAATCCGCAGTCACGCCAGCTGGAGACCCAGGAGTCCTGACGATGTAAGTTCTAGTCCAAGTGCAAAGGCCTGAGAACCAGGAGAGCCAGTGGTGTGGTCCCAGTCCAAAAAAAGAACTGATGTTTTGGTTGGCATCTGAAGAAAGGAAAAGACCGATATCCCAGCTCAAGACAGTCAGGCGGGAAGTATTCCTCCTTGCTAGCCCGAGGGTCAGTCTTTCTATTCTATTCAGACTTTCAACTGATTGGATGAGGCCCACCCACAACAGGGAAGTTAATCTGCTTTACTCAGTCTACGGATTCAAACACTCATCTTCCTCCCAAACACCCTCACAGAGCTACCCGGAGTACTGTTTACCCAAATATCAGGGCCCAGTCAAGTTGGCAAGTAAAATTAACCAAAACTCTCAGTTTCTCTTCCTTTGTAAGGAGCATAATACCAGCCACAGAGAGGCAATCCTGATGCAAACTGAAAAAGACTACTACGGGCTTACATTCCGACCCTCTGACTTACTGGTATTGTGACTTTAAACCAGCCACTCAACCTTGTAATACCGTGTTTCCATTTGTTAAAACAAAACAAAACACAAGAATAAGAAGGGGAGAATCTCACCTGCCTTACCATTAGTGAGGGGTTCACCTAAGATGAAACCATGGCTCTCCACAACAGCCACACAATGGAGTTACCTGGGCAGGTTTTTTAGATGCTCATATCCATGCCACGCTCCAAACCAATGAAATCAGAAATCTGGAGACAGAACTCAGGCACTGGTTTTTTAAAGATCCCAGGTCATTCCAATGTGCAGTCAAGGTTGAGAACCACTGGATTCAGCAGATGTGAAACCTTTCCCCCATGTTAGGGGTTTTCATGATTGCCCTATGCTTCCATCAGCCCTTCATGAGGGAAGCAGCAAGCTGGCTTGAGACCCCAGATGGTACCCATATACAACAGTGCCCCACACTGCTAAAATCAGAGCCACGAGGATAAAAGTGAGACCCAAGATATTAACAGAAAGCATTTCAATGTTCCAAATCAACTCAATTTTCCTTAAAAGGTGATCCTTAGAATTGTGTATCCTCCTAAGACCTGGGAAGAAGAGTATAAACACATCATCTGGTCTATTAGCCTGCTTCCAGCCAAAGCTGGATTTCATGAGGTCTCTGGGGTGGGGATGGGGACTCTGTCACCCGCCACCACCCAACCCCACCTTTCTTCTGGATCCTCCCAGGCAGCTTGGCTGGCTTCCCTCTGGCCCTTGCTCCTGCTACACAACCCCTCTGCCCAAACCTGAGGGACCCCCCAGCTCTGTTCCAGAGCCAAAGCTAACAGAGAACTTACGTAAGCTTGGAATGCTTCTGTATCCCACGGACGCCTTCTTGACTGTCTTCTACTGGCATCTCCTCTATCACACTGGGCCAATGAAGAGAGAGTGAGGCCAGCACACAGTAGGGAAGCCCACGACCAGGCCAACACTGCCCTGCGACCGGCCTCAGGCTGCGCGGCTGGCCGCAGTGCCTTCCCAGCTATTAAGCTTGTCAGGGAATAGGATCACGTGTTCTAGACCCGCCCTCCACGAAGCACAGCATCGGCATCACCTGGGAGCTGGTTAGGAAAACAGCACCTCAGCCTCCACCCCAGACCTACTCAATCAGCATCCTCATTTTAACAAAACCCCCAGGTGATTTGCAGGCCCGCAATGTGAGAGAAGTACCAGTCTATACCTTTTATGTCTAGAACAGATCACTGATTCATTCAAATAAAGAAATGGTTACCAAGCACTAGGCAAGGTACGACGGTAGCGTCTAGGAATATAGCTGTGAATGGAAAGCAGTCCCGATCCTCAAGGAACTCACAGGGAGCGTTGGGGAGGGACAGATGGTGACAAGAGTCTGCCAGGTGCTCTGTCAGGGGTAAGTGCAGGAGGCTGGGAGTGTGGACAAGGGGCACCATGGTGGTTTTAAAATGTGTCCACAAATGCTTGGATATTCCTTCTTTCATGAGGTAGAGCTTAATTGTCTTTCCCTTAAGTGTGAGCTGGTTTTTAACGAATCACTTCTAACAGAATATGATAGAAGCCACAGTCTCTGACTTCAGAGCCTGGGCCATCATCTTAGCCTCGTCAGGCTGGTGTAACAGAATACCCCGGGGGGCCTTATAAACAACACACACTTCTTTCTCACCCAGTTCTAGAGCCTGACAGTCTGAGTGCCAGTGCACGCAGGGGCTGGTGAGGACCATCTTCTGGGTTGCAGACTATCATCATCCTCTTGTATCCCCACAGGGCAGAAAGAGGGAGAGAGAGCTTTGGGAGCCCCTTTTTTAAAGGCACTGCTCCCATTCAAAAGGACTCCACCCTCATGACCTCATCACCTCCCAAATGCTCCACCTGATGCTGTCACCTTGGGGATTAGGATTTCAACATATAAATTTTGGAGGAGGGGTGGGGGGGACACAAACAGTCAGTCCATTGTAGACATAAAAAGCATTGTAGCTTCCTGCTCTCTCTCTCTCGGCCCATCACTCTGGGAGAAGCTGGCCGCCATGTTGTAAGGACACTGCAAGTCCTGTGAAGCAGCCCACAGGGTGATGGACTGAGGCCTCCTGCCAATGGCCATGGGGCTGAGCTATTTCGAAAGGGAGCACCTCGCCCCGGTCAAGCTCTCAGATGACTGAAGCCCCAGGCAACATCATGACTACTCACAAGACACCCTGATCCAGAACCACGCAGCTAAGCCACCCCTGAATTCCTGACCCATAGAAACCATGAGATCTAGGGGCGCCTGGGTGGCTCAGTTGGTTAAGCGACTGCCTTCAGCTCAGGTCATGATCCTGGAGTCCCGGGATCGAGTCCCGCATTGGGCTCCCTGCTCGGCAGGGAGTCTGCTTCTCCCTCTGACCCTCCCCCCTCTCATGCTCACTCTCTCTCTCATTCTCTCTCTC